TTTCCCACTCATTTTCGTCATTTGATGCATGTAAATGTCTTACTTTTAGCATGTCCGAGTGGTCCATTTTGTCTTCTACTATGTGATTTCCCTTCATTATATTTGATAGTGTTAGACATGTGTCATTTGTAAAATCCATCGATAACAAATATATCCTGTCTTTCTGTGGGTTGCCGTTTTTAAAAAACTTGCTCAGAACTATATTAGGTAAAGACTACAGTATAATAACAAAGCATGCAAACAACCCCCAACAAAAACAAACACTAAAATAAAGTAAGTTACTTTCTCTAACATACAGTACTCTAGAATAGCAGTTCTCAACATGTGGGTTGTGACCCCTTGGGGGTCAAACGACCTTTGACTGGGGTCGCCAGATTTATAACACTACGAAAATTACAGTGATGAAGTAACAATGAAAATAATTTTATGGTTGTGGGGTCACCACAACATGAGGAACTGTATTAAAGGGTCACGGCATTAGAAGGTCTAGAATCAAGTGTGACCCTGTTACACAAAATCAATCTGTGTTCCATGGTATTTGTGTCTTTTTGCTTCGTGGAATTTGTCCTAATTAGCTTGGCTTAAAGGGGTTTCCACCATATATGTGCCCAGCCCATTGGCCGTGAAGGAAGTCTTAAGGACACAACCAAATAAAGCAAATATCAAGCCCACTTGTCATCCCTTCATGGGTCCAATTACGGCTACACCTACGTGGAACAGAGTATGTCGAGCTGAGTGGTCACATGTCTAGCTAGATTTCTATTGCTGTGGGATAAGGAAGAATATATATAGGAGAGATAATTGTCATGCTGCTATAACTATCTTTTTAGGTAAGCATTGCAATGTTTGGAGAAAAGATTTATAATACAGTGGGGAGAGATGTATAGCATATCAAATGTTCTGTAATACTAATATTGTGAAATGACCAATATATAGAACTAGTAAATATTAGTGACAGGAAGAAGGTGTGGGGTGGGGGGTGGTGGTGGAGGGGGGTGAATTTAGTTAGGCTTTGTAATCCAGTAGTTTTGGCAGATAAGAAACTACAACTCCAGCAATTTGCATGGGAGGCTGAACAGGGATAAAGCATTCAATGAAATGGAAGCAGTATAAGTTGTCACTGCCTCAGGTGGAGAAGAAAATGGGGCTTAAAAGGTGTGTTGGTATCTTGACTCGTATGCTTAAAGATCTTCATCTTGACTCTTACGCTTAGAGAGAGTGGACTTTTGCCCAGAGTCAATAGAGAATGACTGAAGCTTCAAAAAAAAATAATAATAACCTTAATCTGTACAGTTTCACTGAACTGTATATTTTAACTTGCATTTTACAGATTTTTTTTATCCTCCACAGTTCAGTATTTAGTAAGCACCAAAGTAATCTAATAGTATGTGGAAATCTAGCCTTAATATTTTTTTTGTTTTGTTTTTTTTCTCCAGTAATTAAAATAACAGTTTCATTTACGTAAATTACCCCTGAGAGTATTGGAGTGGGCGAGGGGTGCCTTTGGTATTGCCAAGAAAATCTTCCTGAGAACTGAGACAGTTGAAAAAAAAGAGTGCCAATGAAGACATAAATAATCTAACATGAAATTGGGCTCCAATGTGATATTTTGATCTGATGTTAAAAACTGGCTAAGGTTTTCATAGATTTAAACTTGAATCTGTGCAGGAAATTATCAAGGGGTGTAGTTAGAGTCATATGCTCCCCTGGGTCTGGGGGGGAAATTCCCGTCACTATTGATGAGAATTGTGCATAAAGAGCCTGGGAAGAGCATGGCCCCTGGGTTTCCTCTTAAACAGCCTGTAGATCTGTTATGATTACTTTAATGTGCTGGTCCTCGGAGACACTAACTTCAGTTCTGCCTCTACCTTCCACATGCTGAAAATAACAAAAATTGGGGGTGGGAGCCCCAGGAGATGTGGATCTCCTTTCTTTCTTTCTTCTTTATCTACAATTGATTTATTATTAAAGAGGAGACTTTTTTGCTCCATAAATGCCAAATCATTAAACGACATCTAAAAATGATTCCAACTAGAAGAGGGAAAACATGTGGCCCCAAGTTCCCCAAGTGTCTGGCTTCCTCTCTGAGAGCTCGGCTTTCTTTCTGAACTAAGGTCATTTTCTTAAGCCACTAGGACACTTTTAGTTCTGAAACACCGGAAGTGTCCCTGTCCTGAACAAGGAGAGATTAATTTGGAAGTCATAGAGTTTGTAATTCCACTTATGAGCATTGAAGTAGGTTGTTGAATACATTGCCTTTGAGGAGTATGTTACTACAATTAACTCTGATGTATCTAATACTATGGTCCTGAGCCCTTGGGCCAATGACTCATTGCCTTAAGGCACTTGGTTATGTTTAACGAGTTTTTATAACTTAGCCTCCTGAATGTTCCAATAGTCATGAGTATATTACAGGAAAGGCAAAGAAACCCAACCAAACGCACTGCCATCAAGTTGATTCGACTGACTTCACAAATTCAAATGAAACTCACTGCCATCAAGCTGACTCCAATTCACAGCAACCCTCATAGTGACCCCACCCCCACCCCCACCCCGTGGGTTTCCTAGAGGTTAGCTATCTACACACAGGAACAGAAAGCCTAATCTTTCCTCTGTGGAGCTGCTGGTTGTTTTGAACTTCCGACCTGGCATATGGGTAACCCAATGGGTAACCGCTATGTGACTTAACCCCTGCAGGACAGACTGGAGTGGTCTCTGTGGATTTCTGAGGCTGTAACTCTGTATACTGTGGGTTTGAACCGCTAATCTTATTGTTATCAGCCCAACTCAAAGCAATACTACCAGACCTCCTAAAGATAGTGCTGGGATTAACATGAGTCCCCACATGTCTACTGTGCTGGGCTCTTGTTTCTCTAAGATATATATAAAACAGATGGATAGCTGGGTCATATGGTCTTTTTTATTTCTAACTTTTTAAGAAAGTAACATCCCATTTTCCATGGTGGTTGCATCATTTTACAGTTCCACTGTCATGATGTGGAGTCTATTTTCTTAACCACAATACCATGCTGCCTCATGAGATGGCGTTGAAGCAGAGAACTAAGTCACGGCAGGTGACACTCAAGCCTCTGTGGAGAAAAACCGCTCTGAGAAGAAGTAAATCTACGATGCGAGAGCATGCGTTGCTGTTTCAAAGGGCAGCCGGTCTGGGTGGTATCAAGTGGGAATGCCCAAAGGTACAGTAAGTTTCATTCAGAAGACCTGGTGTGTCTTGTGAAGGACTTTGATTTTCATTTTGAGAAAAAGGGAATTCCACGAGAGGTTTTCAAACAAAAGCATGATGTACCCTTTATGATTTAAAAGAGTGTCTTTGCTGCTGTCTGAAGACTAGGGAGGCAGCATAAACAGTAAATATTTAATAGAAAACAGCATTAAAATTCAATATAAAAGTCAATAGTTTTATATGTACATATAGAAATATGTGTAAATTAACAAAATAATTTATTTGATCATTTTCATAGTCTGTAATATGCTTGCTGATTTTTTAGAAATTCTTGATGGAATCTTTTGTTTGATTTGACTGTCAGTAGCTGAAAAATAGTTTTTATCTGAGTCATGACTAGGCATAGAAAATCCCATCAAACTCTTGCATTGATTTCTCCATTAAATTAGCAGCCACTAGATTTTGGGCACTAAGCATTCTGTGGTAGCTGGAAGGTGACTGGGGGTGGCGGTGGGAGGGGGACTGCCCATGTTCCATAGCTAGCTTTTCCTTTGGGTACCAGGGCTTTCTCTATCACCTGGACTCAGAAATCCTGCACCTTGGCTACACTGACTATGTCCCCCGCAAACCTTGCCTGCCCTGCCTCCTCTGTCGTCTCCACAAACGGTGGGCTGCTTCTTGCAGCTACAGGCAGGCCCTGCAGATGATCCCGCTGCTGCTACCATAGCTGTTTCTGGGCCTGCTCTGCTGCTGCGTTTGAACTGCGATGGAAGTGTTATCCACCTGTGTAGTCACCCTTGCTCTTCTTCAGCGGGTTCTCTTTTTCATGAGCGTATACAGAAGCGGGTTCATATTGGAATGGTGGATACAACCACATCCAGGTGTTCTGGTGATGAGCACGCCTGGCCGACTCTGAGGAAGGTGTCTGAAATGGACAGAATTTATCCTGATCTGAACATACCTTGAAGGCAGAGCCTTCTTTAGCTTTTGCTAAAGAAACAAATAAAATATTTTAACAGGAATGTCCAGTCGGTGAATACTCAGGGTAGCATTTCCCTGTGGAGTCTCACAGGCAGGGCCAAGCTGAAGGAAGTTCGTATCACAGTTGGGAATCTGGTCCTAAGTGAGATTGGATGTGTTCACCTTCTCTCCAAAACCTGTTCCATTTCCAGAAACTCCTGCTCAAGTCTGCCCAACTGGCTACCCTGCATAGAACCAGAAAACCTCAGGGGAATCATGACGGAGGACCTAGTGAATGAAGAGAATCTGCTTCGAGGCAGATAGCACCACGTTGTGTTTGCCTCCTGCTTCGTACTCTACAGCGCCTCTGGTGCAGTATCATGGAGCAAGGAGTTAAGATGCTCAAGGTGGCTTCCTTTCCTTTCCTGGTTTTCCATCTTTCTACTTGCAAGGACCCCTGGCAAGGCTGTGGGCCAGACATTGGGCTGCTAACTAGAAGGTTGGCAGTTCTGACCTGCCAGTGACTGCGAGGGAGAAAGATGAGCTTGATGCCCCCATCCTGAGTTGCAGTCTCAGAAACCCTATATAGGGTAGCTCTGACTCAATGGCAAAGGGTTGTTTTGATTAGCATTCTACTGGAATTTCTAGGGTGAACAACAGAGCTCTGTGGTTCAACTAGACTTTCCACACAAAATCATCCCTTGGCCCGCTTTTATATCAATGAAATTCTGTTTAAATGTGAGCTCAATGAGAAATACACATGTATCATTTAAGCATCTTACATATGATGTAAGCACACGTAAGCACACCACTGCAAATAGTCTATGTATGAAATAAGTGTGAAGCTTGATTCCTCCATGTTTAATGTTATTTTCTTTATTGATATAAAAAAGTGCTGTTCTCTGAATATGAATGTCATTAGTGCATTAAAATAGAAGAGACACAAGTGTTGGTGTCTCAGTTATGGTTCGGTCTGAGAGTGCCCGACATGAACCTTCAAACTGTAATAAAAGACTGGTCTCAAGTTTTCTTGCTGTCATGATTCGGATGTGTTCTGATTCCCTTCGGGAGTCATGAATTGCACCTTTGGCACCAGGAGGGAAGAGTTGTTCCTTCGGATGGAGTTGTTTCTCCGCATGGAATTGTTTCGTCGCATGGAGTTGCGCTTCCTCAGAGAATTCTGATGGGACAGCTCACTCTTCTGCAGGGTCTGAATCAGGATGGAAGGCTTCTCATCCAGCTCCCGGGCACTGCACCGTGGAGCAGCAACTTTGACAGTGTTGCCGAATTTGGAATAATCCACCGAGTACACACCTTCCTCCTCAGTCACAATCGACACAAAGCGGTGGCCCCACTGGATTTCCTCAGCAATGTAGGAGGTCCGTGCCTGCGTGGTGATGCCGGTAGTTTCCACCACTCCTTCCAGAATGACTATGACTTCCAGGTCCTGATTGACAAGGTCACTTGCGGAGATATCATAGAGGGGGCTGCGCTTGTCAATCACGTGACAGATGATCAGAGGAGCCACCAGAAAAATGTTATTACTCTCAATCGGGTTGTCAACAGGAATGTCCAGTTGGTGAATGGGCACCACCTCCCCTTCAGGCGTGGTGGTTTTCTTCACCACCTGGATGCGGACCGACGCGCTAATGATCATGCTTTTCCGCAGGTCCCCCACTCGGAACATGAAGCACAGCTTGCCATTTCGAACAGCAATCACAGCATGGCGGCTGAAAATCAACGTCTCTGCCCTTCTGTGAGCTTGGGCCGTTTTCATGAAAATGCAGCCTAGCATGACTGCATTGATGATCAAACCCACAATGTTCTGGAGAATCAGAACCGTGATGGCCAGAGGACACTCCTCCGTCATCATTCTCCCTCCAAATCCAATTGTCACTTGAACCTCAATGGAGAAGAGAAAAGCAGAAGTAAAAGACCTGCAGGGAATGGGATCAGAAAACACTGCGATTAGGTTACATTTGAAATAATAACATAAATGTATCAAGCTCAAATTTTTGCTTTCTGCACCCCTCCCCCTCCGCCCCGTCCCCAAGGCCATCAACTGCTCTTAGACATACAGATGAATTTGCCAAACGTAGGCGTCCTAGCCTGGGCTCTTTGGGTTGTGATTTCTGCATGCCCGTTACTTCCAGAGCTCTAGGATCTAAATCTGTTAATGTTTTCCAGGTCATTAAATAATGAACTTTCTGTGTAAAAGCATTAAGGAAATACAATGATAAGCATTTTCCTGTTAGACAGTTTCACAAAGTAAGTCATGCCTATCTTATGAAGAATAATAGATACATCAATGACACAGCACCATGAGAAATTTATTTGTTAATCTAAATGAAAGTCCATAGCAGATAATTGACCAAATAAAACGAGGGGTCTTCAAAACGTTTGTGGAAAATCCCATTATCTTTTAATTTCATTTTTCCATGAACCTTTTGAAGTCGACTCATATGTTGATCAAGTACTTGCTCTTGAAAGTGTGTTTTTAAGTGTACCGAAAGTAATGTAACCTTTAAAATAACGTTTATTTGCTAATACGTATTGCACAACACTATAAAGCAGTACAAAACACACGATTTTAACAATATTAGCACTTTTAACAACGAAGGGAATCTTGCCACTTGTGGGACAAGATGTACTCCCGTATTGAGTGGATCTCATTGTTTCTATGTGACTCAGGGAATACTGTAGCTATTAAAGGAATCTGAGGCACAGATCAGCAAATATCTATGTCTTAGTTCTTGGGATCATGTCATAAGAACTTGGGCCTTCTGAAATCTGGCCAAGTGTTCTCTGCACATGAAGATGGGAAAAGGTCAACAGTGTTAGAATTGCTTTATGTGTTTTTTTTTTACCCCCAGTGCACATCTCCACATCTCAGTGCGTGAAACTGACTTGTTCAATCAGTCAGCCCCTCTCCAACCCTCTGCCTACCACTACATTTGGTTATCCTTATCATTCATTTGCTCACTTACCGTTTTTGAAATACTGTTACAACTTTTAATAGAAACTATATAAGTTCTATTTACTACACCCCGCCCCCCAACTCCGCCCCAGGCCCAATTTCACATTTCTCTAAGACAAGGCACTCACAGGCCATATGTCAAAGTGTGACCAAAGGCAGCATTTGTTCATTTCACACACAGGGAGTAAATAAAATTATACAACCATTTAGTACTTAATATGCAT